GAGAGAGAGAGAGATTCAAGCGTTAAAGGAGACGCGGTCGTGCCTGGTGTCGATGGAGTTCGCGATCTGAGACCTCGGCGAGCGGAAGAAGTGAAGTAAAAGGGCAAGTAAGAAGGAGAGAGGGACGACCCTCTGTCATTACATCTGGTCGCCTGAAGCTTCGTGCACACGAGACACGGTCGCGCACTCGTTTTGCGTCTTCGCACAGCGCACGTTCCATGAACACCCGCTGCGTCGGCGGCATTTCCTGCCCTCGGCGCGCTGAGGACCCGGCGTTAGTATCCACGTCGCGCCTCGGCCGCGAACATTACGGAGCAAAGTTGCTGAATCGGGGGTGGGAAGGGAGGGGAAGGCCGCGACTATTAGTAACGCTTTATTAACCTCCGAGTAAGTAGTCGAGTAACTCGCATTCCCGTCAGAACGCAACGCGGACGCACGGTCGGCAGTGGCGTGGCGCACTGCGATTTTGTCGATTTTGCCGACTGGTCTCGGGACTCGTCAACGTGGTTTCGCAGCCGACCTCGCGTTATCCCCACGGATCGGCCAATCAACGGACGGGAAGATGCGATTTCATCCGTCGCGTTTGGGTAACGATATCTCGTACGGACGAGCGATTCGGTGACGGATTTTATTTTCACGCGCAAAAGGGCAGTCTATTCCTCAATCGATGCTCCATCGCGCTTGCAGAGCGCCGTTCTCGTCCGATGCGGCATGCGATTCTCCGCGCGGCGTTTCATCTTCGAGATAACGGCCGACCAATCAATGACTCCACGTTGTGCATTGCTCCCAACCTCCGAGGCCGGTGAATCGCGATGCTATTGGCCTCGGGAGATTCCGGCAGCTCACGCTGCCTAATCGTGTTTCGGCAGAAGGCTCAGGAGAACTTCGAAGCCGGCACTTCGTATATCCGGTGCTACAATATCCGATCCCTTATTTCTCTCTTTCGATTCACGTCTGCCCGTACTCGAGACATGCTGACTCAACATATGAAATGTTGTAGAATAATTCTAAAATGCATTCCAACGTAATTAACTAATTGTGTTTAATTTTAATTGATATATAATATAATTCCATTATCAATCGCCTATAATTAGCGGCCTCTAAATATAGATCCACACACGTGCGCACATTATATATAAAATTTTACGAATCTAGATAATAAACAAGCCACCGGAAGTATAATCGGCTTGTTCGGAGGAAAACGTATTCTAGGGGAAAAAAAAAACAGACCAAGAGAACAAGTAAATATTAGGAAAAATATATTTGTTGAATGCTAACTTGTGTTAGAAAAGTTACATGAATTTCTTGTGAGCAGAGTAAATTAAAATGGCAGTTCAGGACGAATATTTTCGAGACTTGCGATCCTGCGATAGGCCGTTTCTTTAAACCACACCCGGAACGATCGTCTCATCCCGGAACGCTTGCTCTTTTTTTCGAAAATTCCCTGGGCCGAGCGCCGCACCATGGGTCCGTTCTCATCCGCGCAACGAATGTTCGTAACGCAAGGTTGTTCCTGAGGTGTCTCATTCGATTTAAATCGTCGTCTCGGCGATACGATACTTCTAATTTGCTTCCTTATTGCATCCGATTACTTTGTTGCTACATGCCGCTTTGTCTCCTGGCGATTCTCCTGGTTATATGTAACGAAGAAAAACAGAGAAACACACGATAAGCAGTGAGTTTATTTTCTTTAAACGTAGGACAGGGAATATTTTCCTTGCGCTACAACGATTCTCAAAGCTAAACAATCTTCTGCCGCGAAAGATGAAAAACAAGAGCGAAGAAAAAAAAAAACTCACATAATAAATGTTACACACACATTAATTATTATATGTTTATTTATATATATTTTTTTTAAATTTTATCGAATTTTTTTTCTTGACCTTTAAAAGCAATGTGTTCAGTGTCGTCTAGAAAACCGCTTGAGAACCGCTGTTGTGGAACAGAGAAGGAGCGAACGCATGTATTCGGTAAAGGGCTGTATAGTTAACTATATGATTTCCGGCCGGTGTGTTCTGTGCACATATTCGTGAATAAATAACTGCCTAAATATCTAAAATTCATGTGTACAATTATTAATACATACAAATATTAAACATAAAATTAATTCCGATTTAGTTTTACTTATTTAGCGACTATATACGTTGATGCAATAAGCATTATTATTATATATAATAATAAATAATAAGATATAAATAGTAATACATATTACGCATTAAATATATATATATATTAAAAAAGTCACACATGATAACTCTTGTCGCATTACGTCCGAATTTGCGTATGTAAAACGATAAACAGCGCATCTCGCAAAGTCTACTATTGCAATGTTAATGGGCGATTAGTGACGCAGGCATACTTACTCAAGAAATGACTTTCGAGAACGTAATCTTATTTATAGCTTCTGATGAATATGCGATATAAATGATGTCGTATGTGGATGCTTTAGAGCTAACACATAATGAATTAATCTCTAAGAAAAGGACCGTTTTACGCGAATGCCACGATTCTTCACGCATTAAACTTGTGTTTACTATTGTTAATTTCTGGATACACGCAAATTTTACTTTTTGTTTTTAGTTCCAAAAGACAAGTACGTGAATAAACAACTGGCTTGAATTAAAACTTTTGATCGGCTCTTGATTAAGTCCTACTGTTTAACGACTTCGGACTTATCAACGGAATACTTGGCTGATGACGGTTCATCAACTGTGCCAGTATTTTGAGCATTTTGTAATGTAATCAAGTATTGAAACCGATATTATAATTTAGACAAATATAATATAATCTCGATTTCGGCGTTACAAACGGGTAAAAATTTATTTAGAAGAATGGAAACGTAATTAGCACAAAATATTCTTTTGTATCGGAAATTAAACTTTATCGAAATTGCATTGTAATCAATTCTTAAAGATAACGTCTTCATTGTATTGAAATTTTGAATTTTTTTCCATCGTGAAACATTTTTCTGCATTCGATCTTTTCACAGATCTGCGAAATTTACATAGATTGTTGTACAAATGTAACTGTATAATTTTGTGTAGTGAGTTTTACTTATGCAAATTGCAGAATTACATTGGGGATTGAGGGAGACATGGAGAATCAAAAAGTTAAATTATTGCCATTAATACTTAATTTTCAATGTAATTGTGTTTGTATTTAGATGAGTTTCAAGCAACACGTGTAATATATTCGTAAATTAGAAATTAAAAATCGGTAAAGTCAACAATGTTCTCATATCCGTAACTATTCTTAGACACGGTATCTTCGTTTCAAAATTGAATACACATATCTATGTTTAGAACGTAAAATATTTTAGAAAGCTATTGGCTGAAAATTATTGTATTTTTATATTTTAATTTTGTTCTCAACTTTATTAATTACAATTTTTTTTTCTTTAATTTTTTATAGATATGAAAGATTAATTAATTTAAAAAAATTTTTTTTTAATTTACAAATTATATAGAAACTGAATTTCTTTTAATTTTATTTTATTGCTATTTTTGTTTTACAAATTTTTTATTATTTTTTTTTTTAATTTTAGCGGATTAAACTCAAATTCGTTCTGAGTTTTATTTTTTCCTTTCTGCTTTCAAAATTAATTTTTTTACTTTTATATTTTATTTTCAAAATGCAAATAGAAATCGATTTTTTTGAAGTATGTCATTTTTTCCCTATTTTTCACAGCTACTTTCATGGAACTCGTAATTCTCGTGCGTACGCGGCCTAAAGCACGGTATCGCGCAATCCGATTGCATCTTCCGCCACAGAGATGCTAATATCGTGCAGCACACTCGTCTAGCGCAATGCTCGCTTCGCCCTTACGACTTCCGTTATTGCTGACGGTATATGTGCATTTGTCGCTTCGGCGCGCGCGATCGACGTATATCCTAATGTACGGATAAACAGTGTTTCTTTACTCGCGTTATCAACACGGTGTCTTTTCGTGAGAACCTTGGTATTTAACAATGACACTGGTCGCACGTGTAACGTGCCGACACATGTACGCGACGTACAACAGCGGTTAGCGACCGAAAATGCGGAGTGTACTTAGAAACAGGTCTGTGCGCCGTCGTGTCGCCGAGATTATTTTTCTCACGCGAAATCTTACCGTGCAATCGGTTTGTTTACTGTAACAATACAACTGTTTTTACAGTTTTATTCGTCGTTTCATTCTGTGTCGATTACCATGTCGTGGCACAAAACTTTCGATATACAGGATTAGTTTGTGTTCAGTATACATTTGCAAACTGTGATGTCTAAATCTGTAGGCTAATTTATTGTCGCATTTAATCAGTGCACAGTTAAGGATCTCAATATCTCTATCTGTTTATCATATCATAAATTTTTTTTATGTAATTTTATTTCTATGAATCTTTCAAAATTGTTAATAGCATTGTATTGTAAACAATTTTTCATTCTTTAATTAAAGTATAATTTATATAATATAGCTTTATATAATTATGTATGTATCATTGTTTCAGATACAATCACATTGCTAAAATGCCTCGAGTAAGGAGACAAGTGATCCTGGAGGATCCAGCGAGGCCTGTTACACCAGATATGGCAGAAACGAAGTTGTGTAAGTCACTGGTAGCGAAAGCTATCAAAATATTTTATCATTGTTAGCTCTCAGATGACACTAACTCACTTAGATAACATTTTTCTACAGTAAAGACTGAGTTTTTGGAGGATGGATCGTTGGACGAAATTCAACCTCAGAAAGTGGCGGAAGAAACACCGAGTCCTCATTTACAGGATCACCAATATGGACAAACACCGTGTTATCAAATAACAAGAAAACCCACGCAACCACCGCCACGACCTGAGGTGAAACAAGTTACTTTAGGATAATTTCGATATATTGACGATACGTTTCAATATATTACACTGGCGTGGATATATTAACTAGTCGAATTTGCATTTTATCAGATATCAGTTCAAGCGGTAAAAAGAAGACTGAATTTGGAGGTAGGCACAACTGGTCCCAGTCAGTCTGCCTTCAAGGCACCCAGAGGTAAACGTAGAAGATCCGGGTCGAATTCTTTAACTGGTCACACACCCACCAAAAGTAAATTTTGTTTTTGCTTTAACGATCTTTCTCTCGCGCTCCTTCACACATCACTCAAGGATCGTTTGTTATGTTGCAGGTAAAACTGTAGAAAGGACACGGTATGACACATCTTTGAGTTTACTCACAAAAAAGTTCATCCATTTAGTCGAGAGTAGTCAGGACGGTGTGGTGGACTTGAATGTAGCGTCAGAGAAGCTGGAGGTACAAAAACGTCGTATATACGACATTACTAATGTTTTAGAGGGCATCGGTATCTTAGAGAAGAAAAGTAAAAACAATATCCAATGGAAGTACGTTATCCGTCAATATTATTGTATGTTATCGCCGATCTCGTAAATCTGAGATTGTACTCAAGATGCAAATTTGCTTGTTGCAGAGGCGGTCAATTACCGAATAATCGGAACGACATCGCCAATCTCAGGAGAGAGGTCGCGGACTTAGAAGCTAAAGAGAACACTCTGGATCGATTGATCCATGGTGCTGATAAGAACCTACGTGAACTCTGTGCAGATAGACAATACGCTTATGTAACGTATCACGATTTACGTTCAGTCCCAATGTACAAAGATCAAGCTATTATGGCTGTGAAAGCCCCGCCGGAAGCTACCCTCCATGTCCCACAACCTATTAATAATTTTGGTCAACAAAAGGTAAAATATGAGTCAACTTTGATACTGTTTGTATGGATTGCTTATTCTTTTGCTCTCCTTAATATAGGGAAAAAAAAAATATTTTTTACGTTAATTGTTAAATTTCATTCCGGTCTTCTAAACACATCGATAATATTTTCAGCTTCAGATGCACATGAGGTCGGAACACGGAGAGATAGAAGTGTTTTTGTGTCCCGACGATTCCGCAGTCAAAACATCGCCCTATTCCGGATACGCAACAACGCAATCTGTGCCTCAATCAAAAGAATCCGATATACCCTGTTTGCCTTTTGAACTGTTGGTTAATAGAGAAAACGATGTGCGAGTCGAGCCAGTACCTTCCGACGAGAGTTCCCTGAACGATCGTCTGTGTAACTCTGTAACTGCAGTTACCAGTATAACAAGCATAAAGGACGCGTTCCTATGCGAATCCGACGATTATGGACCAATGGGCGGTGGCAAATTCCAACTCCAAACGGAGGACCAAATCAGCACCTCAGGTAGGATTGTAAGAATTATTGCTTGTTTATGTGGCCTGCCTGAAGAGCTTCTTTCGTAATTTATATTAATGGTTGATCCTTTAAAAGTAGCGCAAATTCTAATTTAAGTTTTGGAAAGAATACATTAAAGTAGAAAAAAATTAGATTAATTTTTATAACAAGCTTTTTAGTAAGTTGCTTTGTTATCTCATACTTTTGTTGCAAATTTGAGACTTGCTTTGTTCTAGAACTATAATTACCACATTTTACAAATGTGTCATTTTCATATGTGTTTTAAAAAATTCCCCATATATGTTTTTATATTTATATGTTATGCACTATATTATTAAACTGTAAACTAAAATGCACAATTAAATATGCATTATATTAAGAATACGAAATTATAAATTATTTTTTTTTTTTTGTTTATGTAATATCTTCTGCTATCAATGATACATTTTGTAAATACAATATTTTATTTCTTTTTTATACGTACACACACATATGTTGAAATCAATATTCAAATTATCATTTTATAATTGATATTAAAGAATTGAGCAGATATTATTTGAAGTTTAGCGAATATATGTATTTTTCTATTGAGATTCTAATAGATATATACTTTGTTGCGTAATTTGTTTATCCTTTTCACTTTTCTTTCTTATCTTCTCTTACATAAAATTTTTTAATGCTTTGTATAATCTAACACTTTATTTGGTAAGCTTTATATATGATTGTATTTTTTTTTTTTTAAATAAAAATACTTGCAAATCTTTTTGCCTTTATATTGTTGAAAGATATTTCCGAAATATTATATGTTCTTTTCTCGTTGAAATTCTCGCAGAATGCAGATGATTATACCGAGATGATTATCTTATAAACATATTGTATTATTTCTTGCTCACTTGAAAAGAACGTATTCTACACTATAATTTAATAATCATTTCTGGTCAAACTTTATTCAAAAGAAAGGTAGCAATATTTATATTTTATTTTCATGTAACATAATAATTTATATTACCTTTCTTTTGAATATTTCACTGCCTTTTCACCAATGGATGATGGCCGTACCCTGATGGAGCTCTGGCTGTGACTTGTGTGTTAAAGTTTTTAAAATCACATCACAGGCAGAGTTCTAGTTAGGTAACGGTTTCAAACAGCAAAGCTCGCGTCGCGCGAAGGTACGTTATACTAACTATTGGCTTCTTTTTATTCTGTTTACTTTAGAATATGTTTAGTGTGATCAACGTGTTAAGACTAAATTTCGACCAAAATTATTTTGAATAGAGTATATCGCAAGATACACATACATTCGTGTAATGCGAGAATCAATCATAATTTAATCATTTACATAAATGCTAATTGAACGATGACAGTGGACTCGAATTTTGCAATACTTTGACTTTGGTATCACGAAGAGCAATTTTCTTACGACTAAACGATCTATTATAAAGCATTTGGTGCATTTATCTTCGAAATGTATTTAATATAAGCTTGTAGGCATATCTGCTGCTCTTAACATAATCTAATCATAACATGACACATCAAGTCTTAACATAATCTAACTCTAGAAACTAACGTGCATTAATTGCATTCATTAACGCTTTATAACAAACTTGCAAACTTGTTAAAACGCAGAGGAACTTTATGACGCATTTATAAGAATCGAAGAGTAAATCAGATTGCTACATTATTGTAAATATATACGTATTTTTTAATTTCCTTGAAGTGAAAATAATATATATCGAATATAATACGATATCACGTTTATTTAAATGTCGCAGGCATTTTTTTCTTATGTTTATAAAGCTTTCAGAATTATTCTTTCAAGTAATTGTTTGCAAATAAGCTAATGAAGTTGTTGAATTAATAATATCTTTATGACGGATTAAGAAATTAATGGATTGACATAGTCACAAATCCACCATTTTTCTCACTTTTGTTACAGATCTGAGTATTCTCGAATTTGGGGAACAACTACTGACTTTGGAACCACCTCTCTCCGAGAACGACTACTCGTTCTCATTAGGCACTGAGGAAGGTCTTTCGGATCTCTTCGATTTCAAGTTCTAGGAATATCAGCGTTATTAATAAGAACGTTCTTGTCTTTTTGGACTAACACTCTGAGTTTGCTTCCTTGGCATTCGAACAGAGGAAACTGACAGAGCAGTATAAATGCGTTACACGATAGTGTTGGTAATTTCGTTCCGTGCGTCGAACTTCGTTAGCGAACATGCAAAGTCATTATAATTTATTTACTATTTCTCCGAACAAATATGTTTTTTTCGATCTGGACACCGATTGCCGCGATTAACGTTAAAGAGGAACAATAAAAAGATGATCAAAACACGCGTGACGCAATTTTTGCCTTTTGACACGAACGATAGATTGTAAATACAATTTACGTGGAATGGATTATAATTTTCCGTAAATAATTTTACTAATCGGTCAATTATTGTCTGTTCCATATAAAAATTAGGAAGAAATGACGTGTTATTGATCCGTCTTACCCAAAATATTTTAATATTCTATGTTGTTTTCACGTATATATCTAAAAGACACACACACACACATTTTATATATAATATATGTATGTGTGTGTGTGTGTGTGTCTTGTTTCGGATTGTTTCTTGGCCATATCATTTTAATTGCTTATATATATTGCGGATCGTAAACTCTGGATGCAGGGAAACCGAACCGCGAAGCACAGGAAAAACATATCATGAAATTGTTAGCACGTGCTTCCGGCTTGATATGGTCGATTACATTCGCGGAGTGGATTGCGAAGATTCTCTTGAGAGAGCAAAGGAGAAAGAGAGAGAGAGAGAGAGAGAGAGAGAGAGAGAGAGAGAGAGAGAGAGAGAGAGAGAGGCG